AATCTTTCATATGAAGAAAGATTAACAAAGCTTAAGTTGCATTCACTGGAAAGGCGAAGAGTTAGGGGTGACATGATAGAGGTTTACAAGTGGATGAATGGACATAACCGGGGGGATATTAATAGGGTATTAAAAGTATCAACACAGGACAGAACACGAAACAATGGATATAAATTGGATAAGTTTAGATTTAGGAAAGACTTGGGTAAATACTGGTTCAGTAACAGGGTTGTTGATTTGTGGAACCAATTGCCGCGTAACATTGTGGAGGTGGGGTCCCTCGATTGTTTCAAGCACGGGTTAGACAAGTATATGAGTGGGATTGGGTGGTTATAGAATAGGAGCTGCCTCGTATGGGCCAATAGGCCTTCTGCAGTTACCTTTGTTCTTATGTTCTTATGTTCTTAACATTTGCAAATTTGCCGATGATACGAAAATCGGTAGGGAAATTAATTCGGAGGAGGACTCACTATCACTTCAAGTTGATCTAGATAGGGTTTTGAAATGGTCAAAGGATTGGCAAATGCAGTTTAATGCTGATAAATGTAAAGTTCTGAGGCTAGGTAATGATGATATTCACTTGAACGTGTCCAACGTAGGATGACTAAGTTAATTCCCCAAATTAGAAATCTTTCATATGAAGAAAGATTAACAAAACTTAAGTTGCATTCACTGGAAAGGCGAAGAGTTAGGGGTTAGATGATAAGAGGTTTACAAGTGGATGAATGGACATAACAGGGGGGATATTAATAGGGTATTAAAAATATCAACACAAGACAGAACACGAAACAATGGGTATAAATTGGATAAGTTTAGATTTAGGAAAGACTTGGGTAAATACTGGTTCAGTAACAGGGTTGTTGATTTGTGGAACCAATTGCCGCGTAACGTGGTGGAGGTGGGGTCCCTCGATTGTTTCAAGCGCGGGTTGGACAAGTATATGAGTGGGATTGGGTGGTTATAGGAAGGTGGGTGGTTATATATAGGTTATTGGTTTATTTTTTTTATGTTTTTACATAAATTAAAAACATAAAAAAAAAGAAAAACAAAAACAAAAACAAAAACAAAAAACAAAAAACATAAAACAAAAAACATGAAAAACATAAATTAATAATTGAGTCGCAACATGGTTTTATAAATGGCCGTTCATGTTTAACAAATTTTACTATCTTTTTATTCTAGCATTGTTGAGGCAGTTGACAGTGGTAAGGATTGTGATGTTGTGTACCTTGACTTTAGCAAAGCTTTTGATACAGTGCCACATGAAAGACTGATTAAAAAATAGTCTCTCATGGTATTGGGGGTGCTATATTAAGCTGGATTAGGGCATGGCTATACCAAATGAAACAGAGAGTTAGTATAAATGAAGTCAAGTCAGAGTGGGAAAATGTTGTAAGTGGAGTACCTCAGGGCTCTGTCCTGGGACCTCTGTTGTTTATAATATATATAAATGATTTAGATTCAGGTTTGAGTAGCAACATTTGCAAATTTGCCGATGATACGAAAATCGGTAGGGAAATTAATTCGGAGGAGGACTCACTATCACTTCAAGTTGATCTAGATAGGGTTTTGAAATGGTCAAAGGATTGGCAGATGCAGTTTAATGCTGATAAATGTAAAGTTCTGAGGTTAGGTAATGATGATAGAGTTACAAGATACGAGCTAGATGGTGTTGTGATTGCGAAGTCGGATTGCGAAAGGGATCTGGGAGTTATGATTAGTAAGAATTTAAAACAAAAGGATCAATGCATAAATGTTCGTAATAAGGCAAATCGGACACTTGGATTTATTAATCGCAGCGTTAGTAACATGACACCTGGTGTGGTTCTCAAGCTATATCTTGCTCTAGTTAGGCCCCATTTAGATTATGCAGTTCAGTTTTGGTCGCCATATTATAGAATGGATATAAATTCACTTGAACGTGTCCAGCGTAGGATGACTAAGTTAATTCCCCAAATTAGAAATCTTTCATATGAAGAAAGATTAACAAAGCTTAAGTTGCATTCACTGGAAAGGCGAAGAGTTAGGGGTGACATGATAGAGGTTTACAAGTGGATGAATGGACAAAACCGGGGGGATATTAATAGGGTATTAAAAGTATCAACACAGGACAGAACACGAAACAATGGATATAAATTGGATAAGTTTAGATTTAGGAAAGACTTGGGTAAATACTGGTTCAGTAACAGGGTTGTTGATTTGTGGAACCAATTGCCGCGTAACATTGTGGAGGTGGGGTCCCTCGATTGTTTCAAGCACGGGTTGGACAAGTATATGAGTGGGATTGGGTGGTTATAGAATAGGAGCTGCCTCGTATGGGCCAATAGGCCTTCTGCAGTTACCTTTGTTCTTATGTTCTTAATTGTATTTCACCTTTGTAAACACACATTAATGAGGCTATGTAAAAAGACATCTCGAACACTGTTTATGTAAGACAGACGTAAATCTGTGTATTTTTTAATGAACAAATCCACAAGGGCCGTGATGAGGGTTCGAACCTACGTCCGGAATGATCCCGGACGTAGGTTCGAATCCTCATCACGGCCCTTGTGGATTTGTTCATTTGATATATCACGCTATTGTGATTTCTGTGTGTGTATTGTGTATTTTTGTTTGTAGGTTAGATTAAAATTTTAAAAGCATACAATCACCTTCTGTGGTTGATTGTTCAATAAATCACTGAATTATATGTTTAACAGATCTCTAACCCTGTCCATGGAGGACAGAAGAAAACTGTATATATGATGGTTAGCATTGGTTAGCAAATGTGTGGCCACGTCTGTGGTAGAAAAATAAACAAAAATATATATAAATACATATACGGTATATTATGTGTGTGTAAATCACGAAAATTAACACGTGATGAAAAATGTGACAGTGTCAGACCACGAAGGAAGAACTGAAACAGGAATTTCCTTAGGTACTTTCGTACATAATAATACATCTTCCGAAGGGATACCCTTCTGAAGACGTAATTTCAATTCAAGGAATTGAAGGAAGATTCAATTCTTCCTTCGTGGTCTGACACTGTCACAGTATATTATGTATACGGTCTGCGTCACCACTTAGTGTCCTATCTCTTCTAAACACCAACTGGTCAATAGCCCGCGTACCTGGATCAAATCCAAGTTTCTACAGGTCAAGTTGGCTTTCTTAAGTTACCGGTACAATATTTGTCAATTCAAACACGTCACACATTGTACTCATGAGCTGCAATCTCTGGTCATCCTGTTCCGACTGGATTGTCGGAACTTTCCCATTCGCATTCAGCATGCGGGACCTATCCATTCACCACCCGCCTCCCGCTCACCTGAAAGCCAGTTACCTAATACAGGCCCCTTTGAAAATATAAATAAAATTATATAATATACAAAATCTTATCATGTCTTTCCTCCGAGACATTCGGTTGGTGTATATATGTCTAAAACTCTCGAGTATATATATTTTCTTCAGGCATATTATGGCAAGACCCTACATAAATTCGCTATTACTTCCGTTCGAGTGAACATTTGGACATTGAGGGCATCAAAATATACGAACTAACGTCAGTCTTCCTGAAGAAACTCCGTTATTTACAACGTGCTTTAAAAAAATGTTTTTTGTCCTGTTGTTTATCCCTGAGGAAATGACGCCGGGAGACTGTTCCTTCACAAGAATAGTGGATCTGAATGGGAAAGGAAGTAATGGGAGAGTAATGGACTCGTCATGGGAGGAGCGAGACACTTGCATGGGGGAGAGTAATGAACTTGGTAAGGGTGGAAGAGCGTGATTGTATTGACCCCATGGCTGGCTGAGGCTCTGTGAAATTCATCAGTGCATGAGAGTGAGGCTGTGTGCATTCATGTTGCGTCACAGACGGGATTACACATGCACCGTCCAAGCCCAGCCCGTCCTCCTAAGGTTTCCCAACGTCAAGAAAACGGCCAATATAAAGTATCCTTTCCTTACCTACCAGAGGACCCAAAACAGAAAACGGGACAGTACGTCACTTTAGCGAGCCGCTTCCAATGTCTACTACGACAATTTTTGGCCTTATGCAACGCATATGAGCGCAATGCGACGTTCTTTGTAAGAGGACAGGTTGCCATGCCGGCCCTTGACAGCTGTCAATAGTGTACCGAAACATAGCCCGACCCGCCAACCTTCGACTTCATCTTCTCATTAACATACAGTATATTTGTATACGTAAAAGTGTAAATAAATTATTATTCGTTTATTGAGTTATTTGTATAATTTTTGTATTATATAATGATGAAGCTAAAACTATTTGTGTTTATTTTATGTATGTATTTCTTTTACTATTTATGGTACTAGATGGAGGGGGGGGGGTACCAGGGTGTCTCTCCCCCCTACTCTCCACCCCTCTTCACCTTTCTCCTCCTCTTCCCCAGTATCTTCTTACTCTTCCTCATGTCTCTAGCCTCTCTCTTACTTCTCTCTGGTCTCTTCCTAGCGTCGTAAGTTACGGATCTTTCAACCTTCCTTCATTCCCAGTTCAAAGTAGTTCTCGGACAAGCCTCGTTGTCAATGTCTGCATCATCTCAAAGTTTTCTTATATATCGCTTGAGATGAGGCACGTACTGCACGACGTGGCTGCGTGATCTAGGACACGTCTCACGTACGTGATGTACAGTGTTTCTGTGTGCATTCATAATAAGGCTAACGAAGGACATTCTAATGCTTGCCAGTTTCGCATGTGCCGCTGATGTAAATCAGTTCCTGTGTTCCTCTTGGTGTTATATACCATTTCCCAGGTCTCTACTTCCCGTTTCTCCTACCTCTACCCCCCCCCCCTTCCCCTTTCCATTTACCTGTTCCTTCACTTTTACTTCCATTCCTTCTTCCTTCCCATAGCTCTCCTCTTCCTTTATATTACCCCACTTTTCCGCCTTTTCCACCACGACACCAGTTTCCCTTAATTCCTGGTCTCTCCCTCCCCAACACCTGTCACAGATAAACATGCTAAGTACCACCAACACCTGCCTACATCTGTGTGTGTTGGGTCAGTCAGGAGTCACCCATGAGTCTTGACACGTCCCCCGAGGCTCTGTCTACCTCAACCAACAGAAACCAAAACAGGTGAAAGGTAGGACAGCAACAACAGGAAAAACCGTTGTAAGAGTAACGTTGAGTGACGGTAACAGAAAACAGATGTAAGAGTAACGACACATATATATAGAGAGAGATAACGGTGACAGAAAACAGATTCTGTGATAACGGCAGTGACACCAAGAAGGCAAAACAACGGGTGTAAGAGTAATTAGGTCAACAGTGGAAGTTACTGCCGCTCACAGTGACTGCTGATCACAGTAACTGTTGATCACAGTAACTGTTGGTCCCAATAACTGTTGATCACAGTAACTGTTGATCACAGTAACTGTTGATCACAGTAACAGTTGACGTCAACAACAACAAGAGTGTTCCCACTGTTAACCCCAAACGGTTACCCCCCCCAATACTAACAACAGAACATCAGCAGTGTAACGGCAGTAATGGCAACGGTATCAACAAACAGCATACAAGCTAGTCAGTACAACAGGTGCGAACTGAGACTGCAGACGGGTAGGAACAGGTTAAGGAAGAGGCAAACCTTATTAAGCTCTGCGAAAGGGTACATCCCTACTCATTGCCTCCCCCACGACCACCTTAAATCCCCTCCCCCCCCCCTCCCTTCTATCCCACCTCCTCTTCCCCATCCCCCCCTAATCCCAACCAGGGTGGGACGATAGCAGGATGCAACTGGTTAGTTGGTGACCTAGACCAAGCAATATCCTCATCCCAAATCTCTAGAATACCACTGGGGGTAGAAATAGCTTAAGCTACTCTATCCCTTTGAGACGTATTCATTTCTTGTCTCAATAAACATACTTGAACTTGAAAACACACACACACGTGTATGTATTAAATAATTCTGCGTTGGACTACAAAGGTTTAGGTGGGAATATCTCAGAATGTTTGGTAATATGTTTGTTGTTTGTGATGTGTGTCTATGTATGTATGTATTAACACGATGTACTGAACGGGGTGAGAATAGCTTGAGCTACCTTATCCCCTTGTGTGTATTTTACCTCAATAAACTTATTTCAATTTCAATTTCAGGTGGGAATATTTTATTGGTAGAAATATTAGAGGAAAAATTTTATTATTACCAAGCGGGCTGGAACAATGCTTTTTTTTATTGCATAATCAATGTAGATGTGATAATATTCAGTTGTTTATTGATTTATATCTTTTACAACTAATTTTGTTGAAATTTTGGTGTATCATTGATATATTCTCGTTTCATTTAAACGATTTTTGTTTGTTTTAATCTAGAAAAATAATGATTTCCTCATGGCAGCTGTAAACCTTTCTCTTGTGAGTTAGATAATTGTTATCAGGTGTAAATCTTGGCTGTGTTGTGTCGGCGTCACTATCTACATACAAACATTAAGTTCCCGAGAAGCGACGATGTTGGCTACCTCCCCCCCCCCCCCCCCCCTGGCGGCCACCGGTGTGCTGTGTTGTGGTGAAGTTTACGACCGCCAGACCTAGACGCGCGTGATCTGCGTGTGCGCGCGCGCGTGATGTTGTCACCTGGTATACGAACGTCAGACCTAGACGATGTTGTCACCTGGGATACAAACATGAGATCAAGGATGTGTTGAAGATGAGTGGAGTGGCGGTCCGTCTAATTACCACAAGCTACCACAAACTACACAAACTTCAGAAAGCTTCCTGGCAATACGTTAGTAATGAATAAATATGATATATTTACTCATTATAATGTTGGTGCTGAATGTACAACACGAAAAAACATAATTTTAATCTGAAAAAGTATCTTTTTATAAAGAAATTAGACGAAAATAAAAAGCTGGTGACGCCAAATCAAGTCGACGATCCAAGCTTCGGTTAGGTTAGGTTAGGTTTGGTTAAGTTAGGTTAGGTTAGGTTAGGTTAGGTTAGGATAGGTTAGGATAGGTTAGGTTAGGTTAGGTTAGGTCAGCCTAACTTAATATATCATATTTATTCATTACTAACGTATTGCCAGGAAGCTTTCTGAAGTTTGTGTAGTTTGTGGTAGCTTGTGGTAATTAGACGGACCCTGGAGTGGAGAATTGAAGGGAGAGGGGGTGAAAAGGTGGGGCAGCAGGTGTTCCTCTCTAAAGCTTACTGGATATTAATTTAAAATAATTGCACCTAGACTTGTGAATGTGTGTGTGTGTGTGTGTACTCACCTAGTTGTACTCACCTAGTTGTGTTTGCGGGGGTTGAGCTCTGGCTCTTTGGTCCCGCCTCTCAACCGTCAATCAACAGGTGTACAGATTCCTGAGGCTATCGAGCTCTGTCATATCTACACTTGAAACTGTGTATGGAGTCAGCCTCCATCACAACATCCCCTAATGCATTCCATTTGTCAACCACTCTGACGCTAAAAAAGTTCTTTCTAATATCTCTGTGGCTCATTTGGGCACTCAGTTTCCACCTGTGTCCCCTTGTGCGTGTTCCCCTTGTCTTAAATAGACTGTCTTTATCTACCCTATCAATGTGTGTGTGTGTGTGTGTGTGTGTGTGTGTGTGTGTGTGTGTGTGTGTGTGTGTGTGTGTGTGTGTGTGTGTGTGTGTGTGTGTGTGTGTGTGTGTGCGCGTGTCGGAACACACCCACGCCCGTCAGAACACGGGCGTAGAGCGCCAGAACACGAGCGTAGAGCGCAAGCAGGCGAGAGTCCTCTCTCTACCTCCCTGACTCTTGAGCTGGTCTTGTCTGTCGAGATAACTTGGCAAATTAGAACACACGAAAGACAGAGAAGCACCTAAGAAAACAGACCAAGGACGTAAAGCACTCTCAAAACAGAAAAAAGGCTCAGGACAGTGCAGAACTCAAGGTTTGAAGAGAAACACTAATTAAAAAGAGTACACACTTAAGAAAGAGCACATATTGAGGGGAGAAAACAAACTCAAGTAAGTGAACACAAATGACAGAACACACTAAAATAATGCACTCAAGAAACAGCACACACACACACACACTCAAGGGCAAACAGTCAAGTAAGTGAGTGAGAGGGAGAGAGAGCATGCGATCAAGAGTGAGAAGACACTCGAGTGAGACAACGCACTCAAGAAAGCGAACTAACACTAAATAACCAATCTGATTCCAGAGTGCGGTCCGAGGCCTCAAACCCGTCAATCACGAAAGAGATCACAGACAAGAAATGAGTTCCAAGCGGCGCATATCTCGCATGCTGAAGAAGCCCGCGGTGAGGGCAGGGATCCTGATGATTCTGGTCATCCTTGGAAACATTTTCTATAAGGTTTTTTCGGCCCTTAACCTAGGTAAGTCGAAGTTTTATTATTATTATTATTTTCTACCACAGACGTGGCTCACATATTTAAAATGCTAATCAGCATATATATACATTTTTGTATATGTCCTTTATGGACATAGTGTTAAGGATCTGTTAGATATCATGTAGTTCAGTGATTTATTGAGCACTCGAACACAGAAGGTGACTGTGGTGCTTTTACAATGGTAACCTACGTACATAAGTGCATACATTCACGTCTGGCATACATAAATATTGTCATACATGTGGGGTTATGTTCTTTTATACATAATGTGATTAATGTGCGTTTATAAAGATGAAATGCAATTCTGACCAATTTACACATATACACATATATATATATATATATATATATATATATATATATATATATATATATATATATATATATATATATATATATATATATATATATATATATATATATATATATATATATATATATATATTCACAACTGAAAACTCACCCCAGAAGTGACTCGAACCCATACTCCCAGAAGCAACGCAACTGGTATGTACAAGACGCCTTAATCCACTTGACCATCACGACCGGACATAATGAGGTGATAGCCGAGGCTATTTGAACCACCCCACCGCCGGCACTCGGATAGTAATCTTGGGCATAGCATTATGCCCAAGATTACTATCCGAGTGCCGGCGGTGGGGTGGTTCAAATAGCCTCGGCTATCACCTCATTATGTCCGGTCGTGATGGTCAAGTGGATTAAGGCGTCTTGTACATACCAGTTGCGTTGCTTCTGGGAGTATGGGTTCGAGTCACTTCTGGGGTGTGAGTTTTCAGTTGCATATTGTCCTGGGGACCATTCAGGCTTGTTCGCATATATATATATATATATATATATATATATATATATATATATATATATATATATATATATATATATATATATATTCACATCCATATATATATTTACGTCTCTCTTACTTTGACAAGGTAAGATAGCTGCTATAGAAATTATTGTGTTGAGAGAATCAGTTGGAACAATGAGGTGATTAGAAACAGTGATCAGGGTACTCCCAGCGGCGCACCTTACCCCTGTACCACAACATGGCATACGTTTTACAACCTGGGATGCCACTGAAAGCTGAAGCCAGTCCCAGGTTTCTAAATCATGTTCTTATATTTGCCAGCGTCCCATGTGCTGCCGATGTTATCCAGTTTATGTGTGCCTCTAGTGTGTGTGTGTGTCGGAATCCACCCCCAAATTTGTCTCTCTTGCAGATTACTTCATGTTATTGATATTTTGTCACAGATTCGGTCCTCTTCAGAGGCTTCACCATGCTCGTTCTGATTTCTTTCTCCATCACTTTACGTGGAATACTTGTCTATGACACTCATCTGTAGTTGAACTCCTCCTGTCTGTCCCTTTTAAGAATATTATGATTTTGTTTGCCTTTTCCAGACTAATGTGAGATTCGCTGCCTCGAGTGTTGTATAAAAATTAGATAATAGATGTCACAATAGGTGACAAAGTGGTGATAGTGGTAGCAATGGTGGTAGTAGCGGTGGTGGTATTTACCTGTGTCTAAGGGGGGGGGGAGGTCTAATTCTTTATGCTCTGTCAACCAGCCCTGTTGTACCTTTTGCATCACAATTGAACTATTCTGATGTTCAAATTCTTTGTCGAATCTGGTTTTAAAGTTGTGAATGGAAGTGGGTTCCACAACTTCTCTATTTAGTGCATTCTACTTGTTAGCCTCCCTTACTGGGTGCGAGTATTTCCTGCTCCCACCTGTGACCTCTTATTCTACTGTCTCTCAGATTTAAGGATATCCTTGTCCAGTTATGGTGCTAGTGGTAGTGATGGTGGTAGTAGTGATGGTGGTAGTGGTGGTGGTGTTAGTAGTAGTGGTGGTGATAATAGTGGTGGAGGTAGTAGTGGTGGTGATAGTAGTGGTGGTGATAGTCAACCCGTTCTCGCAAATTCGTAAAGTCAATATTGACTTATTAACTACGTGCATAGGTGATATACTAAACATAATAGATACCCTTAAAAATATTCATAGAAAACACCGACCTTACCTAACCTTGTTAGTATCTTAAGATAAGCACCTTATTGCTTCGTAATTACAATTATTACCTAACCTATACCTATTATAGGTTAGGTAATAATTGTAATTACGAAGCAATAAGATGCTTATCTTAAGATACTAACAAGGTTAGGTAAGGTCGGTGTTTTCTATGAATCTTTTTAAGGGTATCTATTATGTTAAGTATGTCATCTATGCACATATTTAATAAGTCAATATTGACTTATTAAATTTGCGAGAACGGGTTGGATAGTGATGGTGGTGGCAGTGGTAATGGTGGTGATGATAGTAGTGGTAATAGTAGTAGTAGTAGTGGTGGTATTTGTGGTGGTTGTAATAGTGGTGATTGTAGTAGTGGTAATGGTGATGGTAGTAGTGGTGGTGGTAGTAGTGGTGGTGGAGGTGATGATGACAAAGAGAACACCGATTAGATCATGGGATAGGCAGTCTCACGAGAGACCAAAAATACACAGCTAGAGAAATGATAAATGAGAAAGAGATGGAACCGACTGAAGGACAAGAAAAGAAGGTCAAAAAACAAATCCAGATAGGAGAAGAAAACAAACAGATGATTCACGGAAAGACCAGGACAAAAACAAATCAAGAAAGGCCGCCACATGGAGTGAAAAACGGCAAAGTAGCTGCCTTGAAAAGTACAGCATTTGCCTTGAGCTCAAGGCAGAAAGTCTGCCTTTTAAGCTAGCTAAAACCAGGGAAGAAATTGAAAGCAATGAAAAGTAAATTAATGGAAAGGGAGTAAAGTATCAACGGTACAAGAAAAAATTGATCGAAGCAAAAAAAAACGCCTTTTACACCAAGTTATATTCTCCAGATAAAGACGAACCAGAAGCGAAGGTGAGCCCAGGTCGTCACCTGGCCAAGCGGGAGCCGGGTAGTGGCCCTGACCCTGCCAGAGAGGAAGGCGCCTACCACGGTTTCCACGCCGTCAGTGAGACTAGAGACGGGAAGCCTATAGTGAAGGTAGGTGTACTCACCTAGTTGTACTCACCTAGTTGTGCTTGCGGGGGTTGAGCTCTGGCTCTTTGGTCCCGTCAATCAACAGGTGTACAGGTTCCTGGGCCTATTAGGTTCTATCATATCTACACTTGAAACTGTGTATGGAGTCAGCCTCCACCACATCACTTCCTAATGCATTCCATTAGTTGGCTACTCTAACACTGACAAATTCTTTCTAATGTATATGTAGCTCATTTGGGTCCTTAATTACCACCTGTGTCCCCAGTGCAAGTCTCACTCGTGCTATATAGCCTGTCTTTACTTCCCCTACCAATTCCCATGATTTTTTTATGTGGCAATCATGTCCTTCCTAACTCTTCAGTCTTCCAGCGACATGAGGTTCAGTTCCCGTAGCTTTTCCTCGTAAGTCATACCTCGTAGTTCGGGAACTTGTCTGTTGGTATACTTTTGAACCTTCGACAAATTCCTCTTGTGTTTGACTAGATATGGACTCCACACTGGAGCGGCATTCTTCACGATTGGTCTGACATATGTAATCATATGATTGATCACCCTTACATGCTTCTCCAACTTACGCACTAGTCTCTTATGGGGCACTGTGTCAATAGCTTTCTGACAACCCAGAATTATGCAGTCTGTCCAATATTTGCTTCTTTACTTCCTGGATAAAACCATGTGTTCCTCCCTTGTATTTAATTATATTCCTTTTTGGATCGGGGACAGACTTTTCACAGCATCCTGAAATTTCTGGCTGACGCAGCCCATCATGTCTTAAACAGCCTTTTCTCTCAGTTTTGTTACACACGGCCTTTCTATTAGGAAATTTCTCATCGCCTAATTTCCCCTTGGGTATGCCAGGCTTTTACACTCCGGGTTTGACCAGCTTGTCTGACAGTCGCGTGTTACAATTAGCCGACAAAAGATATATTAGGATAGATAGGGATTATCAATTTTACAAAGGCCTATAACAAATAGGGTTATATATACAGGCGTAGAGGAGTTATCTATCGGGCAGGACGAGGTATCAATAGAATGATAATATACCACAAATGTGAGATAGAGATGGTTCTCATCGAGTGCTAGTGTGAACTTTTAGGCAAATTGTGTAGTGTTCGTGTTCCTGTATTTTAGGCTACAGGACATTCCCCCCCCCCCCATTGTGCATATATGCCTATTTCATCTTTTGAGGTATTCCACTTCCTTTCTTGGCGCGTGTCCATTTCCTCTCTCCTGCATGCTCATTTCATCTCTTCGTATATTGCCCATTTGCTCTCTTATTGTATGCCCATTTGCGCTCTTGTTTTTATTCCCATTTCTTCACTTGTATTCCCACCTCAAAATTTCCAGTTTTCTCTCCCGCTAGCCTACCTGCAGTTTCATTTCTTGGAATGCCAACGAGGTGGTATGTACGGTGTACATGCACTCTGTGTCCGGTGTACACGCACTTTGTGTCCAAAGTACACGCACTTTGTGTCCAAAGTACACGCACTTTGTGTCCAAAGTACATGCACTTTGTGTCCAAAGTACACGCACTTTGTGTCCAAAGTACACGCACTTTGTGTCCAAAGTACACGCACTTTGTGTCCAGAGTACACGCACTCTGTGTCCGGTGTACACGCACTTTGTGTCCAAAGTACACGCACTTTGTGTCCAAAGTACACGCACTTTGTGTCCAAAGTACACGCACTTTGTGTCCAGAGTACACGCACTTTGTGTCCAAAGTACACGCACTTTGTGTCCGGTGTACACGCACTTTGTGTCCAAAGTACACGCACTTTGTGTCCAGAGTACACGCACTTTGTGTCCAAAGTACACGCACTTTGTGTCCGGTGTACACGCACTTTGTGTCCAAAGTACACGCACTTTGTGTCCAGAGTACACGCACTTTGTGTCCGGTGTACACGCACTTTGTGTCCAAAGTACACGCACTTTGTGTCCGGTGTACATGCACTTTGTATGTTGCTCTCCTTTGTTCGGTCCATATGCAGAGTGTCAGTACACACTGTTCTGTATTTCGTGTTCACTTGGACACTTACTCAGTTGACTTATGAATGACACACAGTTTGTGGCGGCTCTTGGTGGGTCCTCAACATTGGTCGGCTGTTTTGAGGAAATCTTCTCTTACCGTATCTCAAAGTGAATTATCACAATATTAAACAGGAGCACACAGCAGCAAAAAGGAGCACACAACAGCAAACAGGAACACACACCAGCAAACAGGACCACACAACATCAAACAGGAGCACACAACAGCAAACAGGAGCACACAACAGCAAACAGCAGCACACAACAGCGCACAGCAGCAAACAGGAGCGCACACCAGCAAACAGGAGCACACAACAGCAAACAGGAGCGCACAATAGCAAACACCAGCACACAACAGCAAACAGAAGCAAACAGGAGCGCACAGCAGCACACAACAGCAAACAGGAGCACGCAACAGCAGCACACAACAGCAAACAGAAGCAAACATCAGCAAACAGGAGCACACAACAGCAAACAGAAGCAAACGTCAGCAAACAGGAGCACACAATAGCAAACAGGAGCTAAAAAAAACATTCAAACACGAACAAACACACACTGATAAGAAAATATTTAAGGTTGATTAGCTATTCCTGCGTGATAACAACAACACCAACCACTCGAACTCCATAAAATCATCAATGTAAACATCGAACATAAACCACACCCTCCCCTGAAAACTTGGTACGTACTGAAAACCGCCTTCAGTACCAACGGGTGGAGAGAATGCCCCGCTCCCTAGGTTGCGGGGCATAGGCTACCTGGGTGGGTAGCCTCGTCCAACGGGAGCTCCCCTGAGAATAGCAGCCGGCCGGGCTCACTATACCTGTTACGGCCACGGCGAGGTGAGGTCACTCGCAGCTGATAATCAGAAATACAAACCTCCTCACCCTTCATGTTCGTAATATTACCCTCTCTTTCCTTCCCCCATTTCCCTATCCCGGCTCACCGGCCCACCACACACCATTACATAAGAGGCAACATAGGAAAAACTGAGCTTACAAGGAGGGTAAAAATAGCCTAAGCTACTCTATCCCTTTGAGATGCACAGTATTATCTCAATAAACTTAATTTAAGGTGTTCTTTCTATAGCGTAATAGTTATAGAAAGAGGATCAAATGAGAAATGGCTGAAAGAGTTAGGTTCTGGCGCAGTGAACGACGCGAGGGTTTGAGAGAGAGAGGTCCATAAGCTAGGCACCCCACAAGGAGGAGTACTTAGTCCTACCTTGTTTAATGTTCTAATTAATGCTTTACTAAAATCAATCCCAACTAGTCCTGCAAACATCACTATCAGCTATGCAGATGACATCCTTGTGCATACTAAAACCCACCGCGAAATGCAAACAGTCTTAAATTGTATACATAATAGAGGAAATAGAGGGAATACAGAGAACATATACGGCACGCATAGACGCAATAAAGCACCTAAATTATTGGGATCGTCTCAAAGCCCTCCAAATGTACTCACTAGAAAGAAGACGAGAGAGATATAAAATAATATACACCTGGAAGATACTGGAGGGCCAAGTACCAAATCTACACAGTAAAATAACAACGTACTGGAGTGAACGACATGGAAGAAAATGTAGAATAGAACCAATGAAGAGCAGAGGTGCCATAGGCACAATCAGAGAACACTGTATAAACATCAGAGGTCCGCGGTTGTTCAACGTCCTCCCAGCAAGCATAAGAAATATTGCCGGAACAACCGTGGACATTTTCAAGAGGAAACTAGATTTATTCCTCCAAGGAGTGCCGGACCAACCGGGCTGTGGTGGGTATGTGGGCCTGCGGGCCGCTCCAAGCAACAGCCTGGTGGACCAAACTCTCACAAGTCGAGCCTGGCCTCGGGCCGGGCTTGGGGAGTAGAAGAACTCCCAGAACCCCATCAACCAGGTAACCAGGTATACAGCTTGTGAGAGCCTTGGTCTTGTAATCAACGCTGCTAAAACTAAGGTATTTAACAGACAAATTGGCAACCGCAAAAGTGGACCACGAAAACTTAAGATAGACAACATACCAATAGACTATGTCTCTTCTTTCAAATACCTTGGTGTCTCTGTCCCTTGTACCTCAACTGCAGTCAATAAGTTACATCAACAATGTAGAGACAGACTCAAGGCTCTCAGAACTGTAGTGGGGTACAGCCCGAAATATGGTGTTAATATTAGAATAGCAAGAATGATGTATTTAGCGTATATAAGGTCTCTGATAGACTATCATGCACCAGCTTTGGTCCTGCAGAATGGCAAAAGTATTGATAGACTGGAAAAAATGCAAAATGAAGCACTCAGAATTATACTTGGCTGTCCTATAACTACCAAAGTTCTCAACATGCGGAAAGAATTAAATATACTTAGCATTCGAGATAGAATATTTGAAATTAATCTTATGATGGGACTAAAGCTGCTGCGTGATAACAAAAACAACATTGTGTCAGTAGCACTGTTAGAACACATACGAAATGGAACTAGCGAGTCTAAATGAATTCAAAGCACTGCCACTCATATTAAAATGATGGGACTGCACGATGTATATACAGATGAAAGAGTACAGCACTTCCTTCCTCCCTGACAGATAGTACCTTTTGACATCCTGACCCCTGCATACCCCACCAAGAAACTAATCACAAGCAACCCTCATGCTCAGCTTGCTGCTAAATTAAGCACCATAGAACACATTCACAATATACAAGCTAAAAACAACATTGCACAGACCATGTACACTGACGGATCACTCAATACAGCTACAGGGAGGGAAGGAAGTGCTGTTATTGCTCATCAGCCCGATGGCAGCACAATTCAAAGAAATATCCGAATTAGTAACTGGGCGTCCACAATGCAAGCCGAGTTGGTAGCGATACTGGTAGCACTCGAAATTATTGACAACACTGAAGTAGACAGCTTAATTATTTCTGACTCCCTATCCTCACTACGAGCAATAAACAGTTTGCAATCAAGTAATAACGTGCTTGTCTTGGAAGCTAGACGTAGATATGTAAGAATACTTAGCAAGAGGGTAAATATAAAAATGTTGTGGATTCCTTCTCACATTGGCATGCAGGAACATGACAAAGTTGACGCCCTTGCTAAGGCTGCAGTAAATAAAGACAGTATTGAATGGAATCTTGAGTTATCAAATAGGTCCCTTAAAAGTGTCATTAGACGAGAACTCCTAGATGGATTTGAAGAAAGTAGAACAGTGCAAACTGGAACTAGTAGGTTCATTGTTCATCACAATGAAATGTGTGAAGTAAAACATGTGAATGGGGCAAGTAACAAAGTCAGTAGACTAACAGATGTTGTCACAGCTCGTATAAGACTTGGCTACAAGTATCTCTGGCAGTTCGGCTTGTATAGGGATCTAGATGAAGTAAAGTGTAAAGTGTGTGGACAAAGACAGGGGCATACACTCGAACACTATCTCTTGGATTGTTGTAAAATTGAGCCTTTTAGAGATAAATCAAAGCTCACTCTGTATGATATGGCAACCTATCTCATTACCATGGATAAATTACCTGAAATCCTTGCACTGTATCCACATTTCGCTTCCAGTAGATGAACGACATATGAGATTCAGAAACAAGTAGTGTATTGTGAGGACTAATAATAAACAGAAGCTCCCCTATGACTCTGTAATATCCCCATTGGCCAAACTATTATGTATTAACGACAAGACCTACCATTAATGTATGATGACTTACTGTAAATATGTAGCTCTTGTAATAGCACTTTCTCTGTAACTAGCTGACATTGTATCTATAAGGTGTGAAGGATTGAAGAAATTGTTTATGTAATAATCTAAGATGAGGTCTGATAAAGACCTTTTGTGCCCTCTGTAATGCTTTTGCGCTACCGCTCACAGGATGTGTATGGGGTGCACAATAAACTAGCCGCCTTCGGCGGCAACAATCAAATCAAAAGGTCCATAAGCTTCTAGGACAGGGGTAAAAATGTCGATCCATTTTTTGTTTAGAGACTGTAGTGTCCCACTAGTGACTGTCAACACTGTCTTATTAGTGACGGTCTGTTGACTGTTTAACTAGTAATAGTCTTTTGCCTCTTTGTTTCAGTCTCTTGACTGTCTCATAATCAATATATTTAACAAAATTTGTTACATTACTTTAACGACCAAATATAATAAAAATTATAATAATAATAATAATTATTATAATAATAATGCTAACAAAAGAAAAGTTGATTTTGTGAAAACAATATTAAATTCAAGTAAATAAACAAATGCAAAACACAGCAGATTAATAGGTCCCAAGGAATACGACAGGTTTTCAGATAATTTTGTCCAGCTTATCCTTATCAAGGTGGATGCCAGCAAAACAACCCTGTCCTCTCGCATAGCACATCGTATTTTGGCGCAAAAGTCGCCAACGTCAGAGTAACATGAACCCCAAAAATCATAACGACTCGCCAAATTGACGTCGTGCCCCATTTTTTCCTATTCGTGAACCACAGTTAGAATGGGTTCAGGCAATTTAGATCATCATTTTAGTGACGTTGTGGACGTTCCACAGGACGGACGGGCTGCTTGAGAATATGTCCGTTGTTGCTAATGATATTTTTTTTTTTTTAATTATTTCTGTCGAAATTGCTAAGAACGTTTCTGTAAATGATTCTGTAAACATGTAAATGTTGCTGTAAATGTTTCTTCATCCTGTCAGTACTGACTCATCCCCTTGGGTAGGATTCTCTGCACAGGTGAAGCCTGCCTGTTTTGTGTGTGTGTTTAATATTTGTATTTACTATTTGTGTCTGCAGAATTGAGCTATTAGCTCTTGGACTCCGCATTTCTAAACAATCTATTTTTACACTATTATATCTACTTCACATATTTCTCTCTAACACACACACACACACATTCCCAGTTAGCAGCCCGTAGCAGCTGTCTAACTCTCAGGTACCTGTTTACTGCTAGGTAAACAGAGGTATCAGGGTGAAAGAAACTCTGCCTATTTGTTTCCGCCTCGGCCTGGAATCGAACTCGGGTCATTTGTGCTGTGTGTTTCAACTCCGTTTGTATGCAAAGTCCGTTTGTGAGGTGTGTGTGTCCTTCTCCTTGTTTTTCAAACGTTTTATCCCGCTAATTCCCCTTCCTTTCCCTTATTTGTGTAATCATATTGTTCCTTGTTGGCATTATTATTACATTTGAAATGCCTATTACAAGTTTCATGTATTTATGTACTCGAGAGTGGATACGGAGCTCAAATGTTTCCAACAGCACGACAGTAACAAAGGTCTCGTAATACTAGCATTAACATACTAGTCATTCCGGCCGCCACCTTCGGCTGTCGGGTTCAACTAACGCGGCCTCTTGCCCCGCAGGTGCTCCTGCTGACCAACCCTCGATCAGGCTCGTCTTACACCGGGGAGCTGCTGACTTCGAGAGGGGACGCCATATACATGTTCGAGCCCCTCTACGTGTGGAGGAAGTTCCTGGGCGCTGGGGCGGACCCTAGATACGAGGCCGATTCAGCCAAGGTGCTTGGGGACCTGTTGGACTGCCGCCCGGAGGTGAGGCGGGTTCGTGTAAAGTTGTTGCTCACCATAAAGTTGTTTCATCTCTAAAGTGAATTTGCTGGTAGGTCAGTAATTTATTGTGGTGACCTTAATATAACTCCCGTGGTAAATCGTGTCTAGGACCCGAGAAACAAGTCTATGCTAAACTAAGCCAGCCAAAACCTAACGTAGCCTAACGTAACCTTGCATAATCTCCGCCACGTACCGACCTATCTGCCATCCCTCTTCGCGCAGAGTTTGGTCACGCTAACCACTGCTGCTGCTGGTTCCCAGTTCCAAAAGATGTCTGCGTTATTAAAACATTAAGGTAACGAAGAGGAGCCTCAAAAGTCTTACGTTCATAGTTGACAACGACGGGTATATTGACCCACTCCTTCAGTGCCATGGTATAACCTCAGATATAATGAAGGTAGAAATTGCCCTGACTACGCTATACTTTTACCATGTATTATATCTCAACAAATTTTCTTGAACTTGAACCTCAGATATTTATCCTCGATAACTACTCTCTTATTAAGGGAAATGTACGATACTAATGATTCAAATATTTCACCACAAAGTAGGGCACGAGACAATAGACTCAAATGAGATAAGTTTAGATTCAAAACTAACTTTGGTATATATTGATTTAGGGAGCAAGTTACCGGATAACATATTAGAGGTCTGATCGCTGCATTGTGTCAGGCGAGGATCGGATATGTATGTGTGTGACAGAGCAGTTACAGCCCCGCTCCTATGCCAGGTAAGTCCACTACGGGCTCACCATAGCCCGTGCTACTTGAAACTTAAGGTTCCGAGTAGCTGAATCTAAAACAACAAAAAACGAATGTGTGTGTGTGTGTGTTTGAGTGGATGTGTGTGAATGCTGTCTCGTGTGGCCCAAGAGGGAAGCCGGTCGGCCGAGCGGACAGCACGCTGGACTTGTGATCCTGTGGTCCTGGGTTCTACCCCAGGCGCCGGCGAGAAACAATGGGCAGAGTTTCTTTCACCCTATGCCCCTGTTACCTAGCAGTAAAATAGGTACCTGGGTGTTAGTCAGCTGCATCTCAAAAAACCGCAGAAGAGAAAAGTAATTGTTCTTTGTGATTTATCTACTATTTTCGTGCGTTGTTTCTCAAATCATTGACGGTCCTCTACCGTATAGTCATACCGGCTTAGCGCTGCCCTCCGGGTAATTATCTTACCTTTCCTCCCTAATCTAGGCCACTAAGATGATCCCCTGAGCACCCCCCAGTTCAACCATCTCTAATCCAGTGGTCTCCCAACATCTTATCTCATCGCCCAATATAGGAAACATTTCTGACCCCGACCCTCTCCCCCCCATAACAAAATTACGACTCATGGCAGTGTATAAAAATAAGATTAAACGACAAACGAATTATTTTATCTGAAATGGGATTATGAATAATACCTTCACTCATTGTTATTATTATTAATATTTTTCATGTCATTGTCATTCTTCCCATATCCCCATATCCCCTTAGCGGACAGCACACTGGACTTGTGATCCTGTGGTCCCGGGTTCGATCTCGGGCGCCGGCGAGAAACAATGGGCAGAGTTTCTTTCATCCTATGCCCCTGTTACCTAGCAGTAAAATAGGTACCTGGGTGTTAGTCAGCTGTCACGGGCTGCTTCCTGGGGGTGGAGGCCTGGTCGAGGACCGGGCCGCGGGGACACTAATCATCTCAAGATAACTCAAGATAAGATCTCCCACTTCCTTCTCTCTCTCTCTCTCTCTCTCTCTCTCTCTCTCTCTCTCTCTCTCTCTCTCTCTCTCTCTCTCTCTCTCTCTCTCTCTCTCTCTCTCTCTCTCTCTCTCTCTCTCTCTCTCTCTCTCTCTCTCTCTCTCTCTCTCTCTCTCTCTCTCTCTCTCTCTCTCTCTCTCTCTCTCTCTCTCTCTCTCTCTCTCTCTCTCATTAATCTACTACTACCACGTGTGTTTTGCCTTAGGCCACTGTTTTTTAGTTTCGAACCACAAAATTATGATTTTTGTTCTCGTGTTTCAGGTCCTCCGCAGGTGGAGAATGCTTTCCGTCTTCCGGAAAAGGCCCAGGGGCGCCCGTCACTTCTGCCGTGACGCTCAGCTACGTGTGGTGAAGACCATCAGGGCCAAGGCGCACTTCGTCAAGCCCTGGATCATCAACAGGCCGGATATCAAGGTGCAAAAGAGACGAAGTTAGAAATGCAGTATAGGACATCATGCATTTATGGACCATCAGAAATGACTCATTTATTGCCAGAGATCAAACATTCATTTCTCGTAGAATATATGCAGCGTCGAACCTGGTGCCCGCTGTCCAAGATCAATTATTGAACGAGAATGCTTGCAATATATGTAGTGTTGAAATCTGAAGGCGTTCCAGAGACATCCATCTATTGAGAAACCCCGAGATATCTGGAAGAGTTGAAATATGACAGTAAAGAATTCAACAGCAGAACAATGCAATCAATTTGTTTTAAGAGCTATATTCTAGGATTTGCAAAAGGGAATACCACATACCAGATACCATAATTATAATCAAGAGAAATTGCTAAGTCAGTATGATAATATTTCAAATCAAATCAAAATCTTAATTCATCTATGAATGTAAAGTTATTACTGACTTAGTTAACATACAAATTCCAGTATAACAGTTAGATAACAAAGTAATTCCAGTTACAGTAACTGAATAGCACCAAAACATTATCATTCCACAAGGATATGCGCACACTGAGAGCTGGGTTCTGCTTCTCGGTGTAGATACACTCAGTATTAACCCTGTCCATGGAGAACAGAAGATGTATATATGCTCGTTAGCATTGTAAATGTGTGGCCACGTCTGTGGTAGAAAATAATAATAATAATAATAAACTCAGTATACTTGCTGGCGATGAGTCACAATAACGTGGCTAAAGTATGTTGACCAGACCACACACTAGAAGGTGAAGACAATCGACTTGAGAATGGTCCAGGACGGACCGAAACGTTGTCGTCCCTTCACCTTCTAGTGTGTGGTCTGGTCAGTATACTTGCTGATTGGTTAGTTAGCAATTTGGGTGACCTTAACGAACACATGAATCTGGTAGTCCATCCAGTAAGCATATAGAAGACAATCTCTCCTCCCCATTATTTATCGCGAAGAACCATCAATAGCTTATAAAGCATATGGATTGAATTATCCATCAATAAAGAAACTTAAATGTAAACTGTAGCCCAAGATACACTGAGGCTCATCAAGCGAGTGGCTCCACGGCATACTTAACGTACCAATTAACAATATACAGTTAGCATGTGAAATTAGCTGATCGAATTAGTAGGTACAATATTTGTTTTGATTCCACGTGATCGTTAGGGTACGTTTCCGCGGAACGTATGCTCTTCAGATGTCATGGTTCGGAGTAGCTTGACCTGGTATTATCGACCATTGTCCAGGCATAAATGTAGAGTGACCAGCTGTAGCCTATCTGGACTTGCTATAGCCTAGAACCCTAGATTATATTCTAATATAAACCAACCATGGCCTGTTATAGTCGAGTTTATCCTAGCATAACCTTAGCTTAATTCGACTTGATATACCTAGCTTATCCTAGCATAAACCTGGCTTGGCTTGCTATAGTACAGTTCATTGACCCTACCTACTAGTCAATCTTTTCCTAACACAAACTTAGCTTGATCTGTGCTATCTTTGATTACCACGACAATAACTTGCTCTGTGCTATCCTTGCTTACCACGACCATAACCTAACTACATCCCCGGCCAGGTGGTTCACCTGGTGAGGGACCCTCGCGGTGTGATGAACTCCTTGAAGAATGGAGGAAACCTCTGGACTGACAACAACCGCAATGCTTCTCTCCTGTGTGACGCCATCAACAAAAATATTCAGCTGGAGGATCTGGGTCCTACAAGGTACGAGACGGTGATGGGGGGCAGGATGGTGATGGGGCAAGGGTGGTAACACAGACTGACTGTCCGTCCGTCTCTCTCTCTCTCCATCCCCCATGTTTTGCGTGTTCGTTCTCATACTCTACCGGTATCCGCTCACAAACTCAATTTACGTTAATGCTTTCCACCCCCCGCGCTGCGCCCAACATGAAATTAAATTCCCGTTATAATTTCACATTCTATTTTGAAAGGGATTTTCGATATTGTCTACTAACTTTAACTCTTGCTAGCTAAAAACTATTTATTTACGGACCGTTTGAGCCGTAACAGGGTATTAATTTATTTTCTGTTCTTTTTCCTGGGTCATATAAACAATGCGGAACCATTCATTTTCGCTAGTCACCCATGAAACAACGTAAAACCTTTCAGAGAAAACCATTTTCCGCCATAAAATCATAGAAAATGGTCTTAGAGACTAATGGTCATCATCTTTAGGAAGCGAGTTTCCTCAAAGCTTTCGTTTCTTATAAACTTTATTTACTATGTTTTTGTGTGTGTTTTACTGTAAGGGTTTTACTACCCGCAATGTACTTACACATATACAGAAGCACGCCCTTTGTTGTGCCGAAAATTGGTGAAATGTAGCACGAAATGACATTTGGTTTTTCAATGGGATTTATTTTATCTATCATGCGTGTGTGTTCTGTATACAAATTTAGCCACCAGCCCTTAGTTGGAGAGAGATTTGGCAGTTTAAACGAATTTTGATACATAAACTTCAGCAGTATTTATTTCCAGGAAGATTTGTTGTCAATACTGTGATGTACATATGCCTCTCTGTGGCATATGCACATCACAGTATTATATATATATATATATATATATATATATATATATATATATATATATATATATATATATATATATATATATATATAGGGGGGTACCACCACTGGTGCAATTATAGGGACCCACAGCCTCAGAGAAGGGAACACAGAGCACTCAGGGAAAAACTTGACATTTAACTCTGAATACGAAAGAGTGTTCACTTCTCCTACCACCCCCTTTTTTTTTTATTATGATGTATATATATATATATATATATATATATATATATATATATATATATATATATATATATATATATATATATATATATATATAATCTTTGGACAACACCCACCAGTGGGACTGGTGGGTGTTGTCCAAAGATTATTTAATCTTCACTTGTGGTTTATGCAAGTATAGGCTTATATATATATATATATATATATATATATATATATATATATATATATATATATATATATATATATATGTATGTATGTAGAGGGGTACCCGGCGATGCTCGGGTCTGTCTGTCTCCTGTGTCTATCTTTACCAACCTATCTCTTCGTCCTCCCTCCTTATCCTGATCCCTTCCAAATGCGTTATAATCATAATGGCTTGGCGCTTTCTCCTGATAGTTCCCTTCCATTCATCTTCCCCTCAATAAAGCACTATAACAAGTGTAGGAGTCACACATGCAGTGCTTTTCCTCTCCCATTTTTTATTAATACATGAGGTACATCCGCATATGGTACCCTAGACTATATGAAGTGGAGTACAGTGTGTCAAAAAAAAGCTAACTAGATGATGCTAAAAAATCCCCATCACACAGGATGGTTAGCCATACAGAGGCATGTGATAGGCAGTCTGCACTGGCAGACTCCGGATGCATTTTGAGGATATCATCAACACAATTTGTTTCTTTCCTGTAACATCTCTACGGTAATCACAGAACATATTTCAAACTTGGCTGCATGAAAGACTGCGTGCAAAATGGTCTGGAGAAGTTTATAATTCCTAATATATCTTAAAGCATTTAACCTAGGCAAACCCCAACTAATCTATGTCAGTCCCGTAACCTTGACTTTTCCACTTGTAAATTTGGGTGAGGCTATCCACAAGCATCTGGCCTCCAACTTTGGACAGAAAGACAGACGTTCTCTCACATATAGTACAGATATAACAGCCTTCCTTGTAGATGTTATTAAATTCGACCAAAAAATTTAGATTCTAGCACAAATATTCTTCATATTTCACGAGTTCTTCACATGGGAAGAAAGTTGACACATTAACTCTACCAAGTTTATTTTGCAATCTTATTGAGCCTGGCGCGTCACCGAAGGACTCCTTTCACTGAATTTCTCTTTAACATCTACAGAAGTAGAGAAGTGGATACAAGTAACAAGTTTTACATCTTATGCACACCATGGATTGACGAGGGAAGGAGTGAGGTGCAATGCAGGCGAAGTAGGCTGGGGGGCAGAAGGTGTAGGGCAAGATGGGAATTATGTCTAGGCTCTTGGTGCCTTCTTTGATAATTACTTACTAACTGTCTAGGCTTTCAGGTAACCCGTCCTCCTAATAGAACAAAGCATTTTGACGTATACTTTATTTAAGGCCCAAAAATCATCGTACAAGAAAATTGTAGCGGCTCGCGAAATTGACATAATGTCCCGTTTTCTGTTTTGGGTCCTCTGCTAGGTTAGGATATAGGGCACTTAATACGACAGTGTCTTGACGTTGGGAAACGTTAGTAGGACGGGCTGCTTCAGGATGGTAAGGTGTACACTAGTTTATAATTGCTGTTGATAGTTGGAGGAGTGTTTGTTTTATGAAGTGGTTAGTCCAACTCTAAACATTTATAGTCGTTGTGTCTATAAATGGTCTTTTTGTGTGTAGAGGCGACGTGAACCTTGATAATGCCTTGTTTTTCTGTACCTTGACAGGCGTCTTGAAAGAGATATTATTTAGCAAATATTTTGAGATCGTTAGGTATGAGTCCCCAAGCGGACATGTAAAGACAGAGAGTACATCCCATGCTGAGGGTATACTCCATGTTGGGAGTATCCTCCATGCTGAGGGTATACTCCATATTGGGAGTATCGATACTCCATGCTGAGGGTATACTCCATATTGGGAGTATCCTCCATGCTGAGGGTATACTCCACGTTGGGAGTATCCTCCATGCTGAGGGTATACTCCATATTGGGAGTATCGATACTCCATGCTGAGGGTATACTCCATATTGGGAGTATCGATACTCCATGCTGAGGGTATACTCCATATTGGGAGTATCGATACTCCATGCTGAGGGTATACTCCATATTGGGAGTATCCTCCATGCTGAGGGTATACTCCATATTGGAAGTATCCTCCATGTTGAGGGTATACTCCATATTGGGAGTATCCTCCATGCTAAGGGTACATACTCCCAGCAATAATTTATACATATTATAAATCAGCGAGTACGCATCTTTTTGTTAGATACCTGCGTGTCCGATACGAAGACCTAGTGGACCATCCCGAGGAGGAGACGAGACGCATCTACTCATTCATGGGCGTCAATGTTGACGCCAAGGTGATGGCCTACCTGAAGCGGCACACTGGCCGGGAGGACCCACAGGGTGTGGACCAGAGGTGGGTGAAGGGAGGATGTTCTATCTCTCTCCTGGGGCAGTGAGACAATAGTGGTACAGAGGGAGAACTGCCTTGAGATAAAATGGGTACCAGGGAACTGCAGTGTGACAATAAAGGAACGAGGGAACTGTGAGATACAAGGTGATACAGGGATACTGTACTGTACAATAGGGATACAGGGGGGAAACTAGTGTAGTGATGCATTGGTGGTACATAAGAAATGGTACAATGAGGTAAGTGTGGTTTAAGTCAGCTGATATTGTGGGAGACAAAGATGGTATGTGAGACAGATGGTACTGGTGTGTGAGACAGATGGTACAATGGTACTGGTGTGTGAGACAGATGGTACAATGGTACTGGTGTGGTGTGTGAGACAGATGGTACAATGGTACTGGCGTGGTGTGTGAGACAGATGGTACAATGGTACTGATGGGATGTGTGAGACAGATGGTACAATGGTACTGGTGGGGTGTGTGACACAGATGGTACACTGGTACTGGTGGGGTGTGTGAAACAGATGGTACAATGGTACTGGTGTGGTGTGTGTGACAGATAGTACACTGGTACTGGTGTGGGGTGTGAGACAGATGGTACACTGGTACTGGTGTGGGGTGTGAGACAGATGGTACACTGGTACTGGTGTGGGGTGTGCCAGATGATAGACAGTGAAGTGTGATGCGATAGTGGTATCATTCCTGTATAGTGGTTCTGGTGTTGATTTTAACTAGTTGTTGCAAGACGAGCTGTTCCGTATGCGACAAAGTTAAATATGGTTACCTAGTGTTGCCTGGGAACACTCTGACACACGGGGCCCCAACATCACTCCTCACACCTTGGATAAGCAAAACAAACCCCCATTCAAATGTCTTATTATTTACGAACCTTTAATGTTATAATTTAATGATGATAACCCAAATTTAGTGCATTTCATCAAGTATGTGACCGGGGTCTCTAGAATTAGGAAAAATACGTGTTTCCAGGAAAAAAAACAGTAATGGATTTGGTTTCCAAGCAGGTATCTTAATACGTATCGAGACGTCAGCTTCCGACACGACCACTGGAAAGCGAAGCTGAACCCTGATGTTCGTCAACACGTGGAGGACGTGTGTTCTGATGTCATGCAGAAGCTCAACTACCAGCCTGTCCTCGTCACAATCTGGCCACATAAACGATGACCAAACGCTAGTGAATCCAGCCACCAAACATACACAAACACCTCCTCCCTTCCTCTGTATGAGTGAAAAACACTTTACACACAACTCACAACTGATGACGTACGTATTTTCCTCGAATAGTGTTTCGTTCACGTTCTCTGTTCGAATCGCACCTCTCTGACGGCTTCATCCACGTACTGCAAACGCCCTAGATTGCCTACAGAACTTGACAACCTAACTTAAGTTAGACCTAACTATTCAACACATTCCGGTACATAATTATACCAGGGGGGGGAGGGGAGGAAACCCAGCGTTGTCCAAGTCTTTCTGCCTGTCTCCCTTCTCTCTTTATATCTATAGATGTCTATCATTACCTATCTCTAGCTCTACATATATCTAGCCATCTCTCCATTTGACTGTCTTTATGACTCTCTCTTCGTCCTCCTGCACAGCACATCACAGAAACAAATATGTGTCTCGGATGATTTGATTTTCAGTGTTATAACTGCAACTTTCCGTCATATAGAAGCTTAATTGTATTGCAACAATCACAGCTTTTTGTTTAATAGATCTTCTTACAATTACAATAAACAGATTTTCCACAAAACAACCATTCCTGATGAACACAGATAAACAGCGAGGCATGTGTTTAATGAATTAGTAAGCCACGAACCCTACCCACCGCCGCCTACGGGGGTGGACATGGGATGGGGGGGGGTGTATAATAGACAGCAGTACCCAGGAATCATAAAGCCATTAGAAGGCCTGAAGGCTGTGTATAGGATCCTGTCACTTGAAGTGTAACTAATTTAGCGACCATTTATAAGGGTGAGGCGACCTGAGTAACCCTCTGTACATTCCTGACACTTGTCACAGGTCTGCATGTGTTGGCTAAAGAACATTTCTGCGAGTTGGTAATTGGTTAGTCAATTTGAATTGACTAACAAATTGAGCCAATTTGAATTGACTAACCAATTACCTGGAATTGTCTAAATTATAATTATACCCAATTATCTAAAATCTTCATATATCACATTGATGAATTCTTCTGGCATTCTAATAACATCAGGTTCCATTCCTCAACTGGAACAGCCATAACTGGCTGTTCCAGTTGAGGATACTAGGTTATAGGGTTAGATAGATATCCTGAGAGAGAGGACACAAGCAGCCTAGACTTAGCCTGTGGGCTACAGGTGAGTGTACAGAGTGTGGGGGAGTAGATTTTAAGACTAAGGGTAGAGGAGATAGCCTCATGGTAGAGGAGATAGCCTCATGTACGAGACTACGCTTATGTAAGAACACTTTGTTCTCTGTTCCCGTTCATTACCTGTTATTTGCCTGATTGTGGTAGAGAATTTAGTGATAAGATGCTTTGCAAGTTATTACTGTGTGTTTAAATACACTCACAATAGTGATTTAAAAATATATATATTAATCTCTACTTTCAATTTCTATCTCCAATTATTTCATTTGCACAAAAATAATATCAATAAAATAGACTGTATTTATATAATCAGATTCGCGGAGAAACGATCGAGCGATTCAGATCTGGATCTCCAATAACCAGTTCTAATCAGCGATCCACTCAGTTAAACAAGTGAATTTACAGTGACTGTGTACTGAGGAAGTGACATGAGATGAACTTGATATAAAGTGAGACTGAAAGGGGAGCGAAGTAGCTTTCAGTTTTTCAGTTCAATGGATAGGGGTTTAATTAATGAGTCAAGATTCAAAGACGCTGAATGCTGAAAACTAATTAAATGAAATATATATGGGATTTAGAATTTGTTCATGGAATTCGGGCAGAAAAGTTTGTTGTAATAGCGTTTGTTGGGTACAAATGGCATTCCATTCATAACCCAGTATTATGGGTTATCACATATCTCTATGGCAATAAATGAATGTAAAAGTTATATTTGGAAAATCACGCACCACAAACATATTCACCGAGAGCAGGCAATATAACCAGACATTTTTAGAAAATTTACAAAATTTATAAAAATTAAATATTGCACCGCTTTATTGGTGTAGCAAAAATATGTAAACATACATACACACACACGTCTAGTCATGTATAAAACTAAACTGGAGAAGGTTCAAAGGTTTGCCACCAGACTAGTACCCCGAACTGAGAGGTATGAGCTACGAGGAAATACTATGGGAATTAAACCTCACATCGCTGGAAGACAGAAGAGTTAGAGGAACATGATCACCACATAAAAGATTCAAAAGGAGAATCATCTATAGGGTAGATAAATAAGACAAGGGGCAAACGCACTAGGGGAGAGGTGGAAATTGAGTGCCAAAAGGAGCCATAGAGACATTAGAAAAAATAATTTAGTATCAGAGTAGTTGACAAATGGAATGCTTTAGGACGTGATGTGGTGGAGGAAGACTCCATACACAATTTCAAGTGAAGGTATGATAGAGACCAATAGGCTCAGGAACCTGTACACCTGTTGATTGAATGTTGAGAGGCGGGACCAAAGAGCCAGAGCTCAATCCCCGCAAGCACAACTAGTTGAGTACACACACAAACAAACGTGCGATTCCTGTGTATGCTTGTATATACTGGTGTAATCTGTACACCAGTTGAAACAAAATTAGACACGAAAAAGAAGGGTGGGAATAATGCATTTTTTGGATCGCCAGAAAACCTATGACAGAGTATCTCATAAGAGACTAGAGCATAATATTGAGACCAAGGCAGGAGTGAAAGGGAAGGTGCTCCAGTGGACAAGGAAGTACCTATGCAACAGAAGACAGTGAGTCAGTCACTGTGAGGGATGCAATCTCAGAGTGGCGAGATGATGTCACTAGCGGTGACATCTCGCCACTCCTACAGGGTTCAATTATCGGAAACTGAAATAAGTTTATTGAGGTAAAATACACACAAAGGCATGAGGTAGCTCAAGCTATTCTCACCCCGATCAGTACAAAGTGTTCATACATAAACACATCACAAATAATAAACATATTACCTAACATTCTGAGAGATAAACATATACATTTTTTAATTATCGAACCTATTATGTTTCTTATATATGAAAATGATCTTCTAGAAGGAAACGACTCATTCCTCTCAATGTTTGCTGATAATGCAAAAATTATGAGGAAGATTAGAGCAGACCATGATCCATTAGATCCACCATGTCAATCCCTCTAATTATTTAATACGTCTGTTTCAATCAATCCAAAACTGTATCAAGTTACCATCCTGAGAGAGAAAAAGAGAGAGAAAAAGAGAGCTTTGGTCAACAGCGCGCGCTCTCCCAAACGTAGAATAACAAAGAGATAAGCGACTTTACCGTCGTTCCCTTAACACGTAAGGCTGACCTTAGGGTTGGGTCGTGAAGCGGGAGGAGAGGGTTTGACCAATACTGACTCACTTAGGCGATTAGCGTTCATATGTCTAATTAGGGGAAGCCGGAGGGCGCGCCCGGGGCGGGGAGGAGGAGGAAGGTTCGAGGGAGACGTGGTGTGGTGTGTAGTTTCGTATGGATAAAGTTACATCCTCCGCTTTTGCTAATTCTTGGATTACATACTTAGTATGTATGCGTACATTCATGCACGGATGTATATATATATATATATATATATGGATAAATGTTTATGTATGCAAATATGTATGGATAAATGTTTGTGTATGCATACAGACATAAATACGTGCATGCATGCATACATACAGGGGGGAAGAGTATGAATATGTGTCAGGGGGAAAGAGGCGGCCTGTACCACCGCCTGCACTGTGTCGACCTAGACGGCCTGTACCACCGCCTCCACTGTGTCGACCTGTACCACCGCCTCCACTGTGTCGACCTGTACCACCGCCTCCACTGTGTCGACCTAGACGGCCTGTACCACCGCCTCCACTGTGTCGACCTGTACCACCGCCTCCACTGTGTCGACCTAGACGGCCTGTACCACCGCCTCCACTGTGTCGACCTGTACCACCGTCTCCACTGTGTCGACCTGTACCACCGCCTCCACTGTGTCGACCTTGACGGCCTGTACCACCGCCTCCACTGTGTCGACCTTGACGGCCTGTACCACCGCCTCCACTGTGTCGACCTAGACGGCCTGTACCACCACCGCCTCCACTGTGTCGACCTAGACGGCCTGTACCACCACCGCCTCCACTGTGTCGACCTAGACGGCCTGTACCACCACCACCTCCACTGTGTCGACCTAGAGGTCCTTGTGTGTTCCCTCGTTCTGAGTCTGCTAAACTGCTCGGTTGCAAGTATGTAAAATTAGGAAAGCCTTGGGTAAATATTGATTTGAAAACAAATGGTAGACACATGGAACAAATTTCTGGGTAACATAACAGACTTGAGATCAGGTGTAGGTTAGACATAATAAGTGAGTTTAGATGAATATAAATAGGATCCGCCACGAATGGGTATATATATATATAATACAGGAAATTTACAGCCCCGCTCCTGTGAGAGATAAGTCCACTACTTATCCTATAAGTAGTGGACTTAGAGGAGTGGGTCAGTACTTATCCTATAAGTAGTGGACTTGTCTACATATATAGACAAAGTCTTATATATGGGTATATAGGACTTGTCCATTGTTGTTGTTTTGTATTCAGCTACTCAGAACAAAAGTTCCAAGTAGCATTGAGGGAGCCGGTCGGCCGAGCGGACAGCACGCGGGACTTGTGATCCTGTGGTCCTCGGTTCGCCGGCGAGGAACAATGGGCAGAGTTTCTTTCACCCTATGCCCCTGTTACCTAGCAGTAAAATAGGTACCTGGGTGTTAGTCAGCTGTCACGGGCTGCTTCCTAGGGGTGGAGGCCTGGTCGAGGACCGGGCCGCGGGGACACTAAAGCCCCGAAATCATCTCAAGATAGCATGGGCTTTGGTAAGACCGTATACTAGTGCAGTTTTCTTAATTATGTTCTTATGATATTGAAATAATAATAATAATAACAATGATAATAGGAGTAAAGAAGATATTAATAATTTCATTTCAGATTAAATAGTATAGCTGCCGTCCTTAATCTTACCTTAAGTCATACTTTATTTACATACTTACCTTACCTTAAGTCATACTTTATTTTTTAAGTTGGAGAGGGTTAGGGTAAAAAATATTTCCTATATTGGGTGATGAGATAAGACGTTGTGGAGACACTGGATTATAGAAGATATAACAGGGGGTGCTCGAGAGATTATCTTAGTGGCCTAGATAAGGAAGATAAGATACGGAGAGAATAAAATACTAAGCCAATATATGGTAGAAGCCCATCAATAAGCTGAGGTATAAGGTACGAAAACAAAGATAATGAGATGATAAAATGCATCGCAAGAGGATTTAGTTAAGGCTATGGTATACCCCCTCCAGATATGCCATAGATGATATGCTCACCAATCACAGGAGGAGTGGATCAGTATACCATGACACTAGAGGAGTGGATCAGTATACCATGACACTGGAGGAGTGGGTCAGTATACCATGATACTGGAGGAGTGGGTCAGTATACCATGACACTGGAGGAGTGGGTCAGTATACCATGACACTGGAGGAGTGGGACAGTATACCCTGACACTGGAGGAGAGGTTCAGTATACCATGACACTGGAGGAGTGGATCAGTATACCATGATACTGGAGTAGATCAGTATACGAATCGTTCCTCGTCGTGAACGTAAGCCCTTTGAGGCTGCTCTTCGTTACCTTAAATTTTTAATACCTGGTTGATACCTGGTTGATGGGGTTCTGGGAGTTCTTCTACTCCCCAAGCCCGGCCCGAGGCCAGGCTCGACTTGTGAGAGTTTGGTCCACCAGGCTGTTGCTTGGAGCGGCCCGCAGGCCCACATACCCACCACAGCCCGGTTGGTCCGGCACTCCTTGGAGGAATAAATCTAGTTTCCTCTTGAAAATGTCCACGGTTGTTTCGGCAATATTTCTTATGCTTGCTGGGAGGACGTTGAACAACCGCGGACCTCTGATGTTTATACAGTGTTCTCTGATTGTGCCTATGGCACCTCTGCTCTTCATTGGTTCTATTCTACATAATTCACACATTTATTCTAATAACTCACACATTTTTGGAACTCGAGAGAAGCAACAACAGTGGTATCCGAAGGAGGGAGGAAGGGATGGAATGTGAGAGAGGAAGGAAAGGGAAGGAGGAAGGGGTGTGAGGCTGGAAAACAAGAGAGGGAGGGAGGTAGGGAAGGCAGACGGGGCATTCTGAGGAGGGAAGGGTTGCTGGGATGGGTGGTTGGTGGGAGGGGGATGGTCAACTCTGGGTCATGCCGGGTCGAACAGGATCAGTCGGCGTCGTCACAGACGCGTGCAGTAAACATTGAAATTGAAATAAGTTTATTGAGGTAAAATACACACAAAGGGATGAGGTAGCTCAAGCTATTCTCACCCCGTTCAGTACATCGTGTTAATATATACATATAAACACATCACAAACAATAAACATATTACCAAACATTCTGAGAGATAAACATCTACATTTCCTATAAACATTGAACGTCTCTAGCTATATATCTTGGGATATGTGTGAATATGCTAATTATTATTTTAACGGGGAGTCAGGTATATATTGACCAGACCACACACTAGAAATTGAAGGGACGACGACGTTTCGGTCCGTCCTGGACCATTCTCAAGTCGATTGTCACAATCGACTTGAGAATCGTCCCTTCAATTTCTAGTGTGTGGTCTGGTCAACATACTTCAGCCACGTTATTGTGACTCTTCGCCTGCATCAGGTATATATGTTTCACGTTACATTAAATACACAGAGTACATGTAAATGAAAGATGGAGAGGTTCTAATGGAATCTGCGAGGAACAAAAGGACCTCCACTACCAGAAATGTAATCAAGTACGCTAAGTTTGGTAAGTGTAGGCACTAAACGCAAGTGATTCTAATCATTCCACCGCCAACCACTGAATGATTGGAAGTGGGTGGGGTGGAGCGGGGTGTGAATAAGTAAATCAAATTACGAAACTTTCTCACCGCAAATGTAAGATGCCTGGCTTAGAGCCTGTACGTGTGGTCGTTCTCGATTCTATTGTTGATATATGCATTAAACTGCGCAGCTACCTTCAAGACTGTAACTTGCTTAGCTATATAAGTATTTTGTGGTTTAATTTTTGAGCCCATTATATGCCTCTAGCCATTTCCATTACCGCCCACGGAATGGGTATGAGGGGGAATAGGAAATTAACTAAATTAAATTTTAAAATGATCTTTTTAGTGTATATACAATATTAAAATGTTTCATATTTCTACTATTCGAGTCAAGAAAATGTTTTTCTCTTCTTCCTACTGAAAACGTTTGCTTTAAAATTTCAAGTCATACCGTTGAGTGATATTAAACAATGCTAAATGTATTTTGGAGACAAGTTTGTCATGGGTTATAAAGACTTTAAATACTTGTGTAAATCGCCTCTCATTCTTTATCTTTAAAAACAATAAATTTAGTTCGTTTCAATGAGCTTCTCATTTAAATGAGTGTTATATTTTTGCCTTCAATAATGTTTGACGCTGAACACCCCCTTGATCTGGTAATATTCTTCACAAATAACTTTATATATCGGACGTATTAGTGAAATTTACAAAGTGAGAATAACGTTCTCCGATTATTTTAATCCTGAGCACCGTCCAGGACTAGAGTAAATTCGATGTGTGTTTACAGGAGAAACAGGGTACGCCTCTCGGTGTTTACATCCTTGGTGATACTTTGATAGTGACGTTCAGTATTTACGAAGATGCATAGTGATTGTCACAATCTTGGTGCGTAGATACAATACATTCAAGCTAGTACAAAACATTTAACTAATGCGAATAAAACATTAATTAAGTTACGAAAATTACCAACCCACCAGTCCGTCCTCCTAAGATTTCCCAACGTACTAAATTGTCGAACTAAAGTTCCCTTATCCTTATGAGGGACCCAAGACAGAAAACGGAACAGTATGTAAAATTCACGAGCCGCTGCCATTTTCTAGAACGACGATTATTGGCCTTAAGTAGAATCTACGTCAAACTACGTCCTATACAAACTATATAGGACAGGTAGGATCCAAACTCACCAGGATTTTGCGTGTTTACTTCATAAGATAGTACGTTCGAAGTTACGATATTATCTAAATTTACCTGAAAGCCATCATCTCTTTCTAGTGGCCTCAACGAGGGCGAGAAACGCGTCACCCCATTTTCCCGAAAAATTAGCCATGCATCATGTCCATTTTGGATAAATTAAATGTTAAGTGACACCTGGAGTAAAGAACAAATCTCAGGCACAGGTTGTCTAGCACATATTGTTGCATATGTTCTTTACCGATTGTATCTAAATGTACATTCGTGTTATGCACAAATATAGACGCATAGGATAGTTAAGTTACCCCTTTAAATAACAGGTACTCATACGTTTTCTATAATTCGTACCTCTACAAAGAAGGCATGGACTTAGCTATATCAGTATTTTCTGTACCAAATAAAACTAAAGTAACAATAAAAGCTGGTAATTCCCAAATCAAATCAGGTCATATAACAAGGTAGGTTAACCCAGATTCAGCCAATTTAAATAATATAACAGAGAATAAAAAGTTGAAACCCCAAGACGACAACCAGGAACCCACACTTCTCTTCCCAGAAAGATGTAGTTTGGTATTGGGATATTATTTGCATAACATGTGGAGGGTTATAAAGGTCACCACAACAGTTATGTGACCAACTGCGGGCTTCCTGTCCCCATCGAAGCAACTAGAGAGATAGTCAGCTTCACGTTAAATACTCGTGCACAGAGCGCGTATAAATAACTGGGCATCCATTCTTCACAATTGGTTGCCATAATCCTTGCGTATATGAATCCAAAGTTAACACGCTAATTGTAAGTGACTCCTTGGCATCCTTGACTGCCCTCAGCTCCCCAAGGCATAACTGTGACGTGCTTGTGTCTGAAGCTAGACACAGATATGGTGAAATAATCAATGATATCAGAGTTTGTCTCCGGTGGATTCCTTCCCATATCGGTCTCAGAATTCATGATAGAAGTGATGCGTTAGCCAAGACTTTTGCTCTTAAAGAAAGAATTGATGACCATCTTGGTCTACCTTTCAGCAGCAATATTCCGGGAACATCAACAAAATCTCGTAGACTTAAGGCAAAATGAAATTTACACTTTCAGTTAGTCTATATATCATTCTATTATGCAGGAAGAACCGCACGTCTATGGGTTACCGCGATTTCTTGATGTCACCACTGCTAGGCTTAGACTACATGGACCTCTGGGAGTTTGTAACATATTGGAATTTAAAATTAACCAATATATATATATATATATATATATATATATATATATATATATATATATATATATATATATATATATATATATATATATATATATATATGTCGTACCTAGTAGCCAGAACTCACTTCTCAGCCTACTATTCATGGCCCGATTTGCCTAATAAGCCAAGTTTTCCTGAATTAATATATTTACTATAATTTTTTTCTTATGAAATGATAAAGCAACCCTTTTCTCTATGTATGAGGTCAATTTTTTTTTATTGGAGTTAAAATTAACGTAGATATATGACCGAACCTAACCAACCCTACCTAACCTAACCTAACCTATATTTATAGGTAAGGTTAGGTTAGGTAGCCAAAAAAAGCTAGGTTAGGTTAGGTTAGGTAGGTTAGGTAGACGAAAAAACATTAATTCATGAAAACTTGGCTTATTAGGCAAATCGGGCCTTGAATAGTAGGCTGAGAAGTGCGTTCTGGCTATTAGGTACGACATATATATATATATATATATATATATATATATATGCAATTGACGATCACAAAACACTGATCATTTTATGCGGAAAATCCACAGAGAAATATGAAAGGAGGTGAACGTTTCGGCTTTGTTAAAGCCTTTGTCAACACCAGACTTGAGTCTGGTGTTGACAAAGGCTTTAACAAAGCCAAAACGTTCACCTCCTTTCATATTTCTCTGTGGATTTTCCGCATATATATATATATATATATATATATATATATATATATATATATATATATATCTATTATATATACAATAGTTATTGTATATATATATATATATATATATATATATATATATATATCTATTATATATACAATAGTTATTGTATATATATATATATATATATATATATAGTTATTGTATATATATATATATATATATGCGGAAATATATATATATATATATATATATATATATATATATATATATATATATATATATATATATATATATATATATATATATATATATATATATATATATATATATATATATATATATATATATATATATATATATATCCATTATATATATATATCCATTATATATATATATCCATTATATATATATATCCATTATATATATATATCCATTATATATATATATCCATATATATATATATCCATTATATATATATATCCATTATATATATATATCCATTATATATATATATCCATTATATATATATATATCCATTATATATATATATCCATTATATATATATATCCATATATATATATATCCATTATATATATATATCCATTATATATATATATCCATTATATATATATATATATATATCCATTGTGGATATAGTTTCGTGTTTTATTTTACTATAGCATTCAAATTTATAATCATTGCGTCAGATGATGTAATGTCATATATGAAATAAAAAGTATCATGTTTCATATTGAAAACTCTTTATTTACCAATTGTTTGACAATAACTAAATAAAATTACCCTAATGGGGTAATGGGTATTACTCCCTAATCTCTAATAGGAGTAATAAATGCTAAACAAACATTTCATAATTATAACTTCACCTTGCAATAAAACACAAGTATTAAAATTTTTGAGCTTTTATTCTAATAGAATAACCAATATTTCATAGTTTCTTATATTTAAAGGAATAACAGCCTCACATAAAGCATTGACAATAAAAAAAGTTTTAGAAATCACGCCGATAATATCTTTCCGTATCAAAGTAAGACGTGACAACAACGCGGTTCGAAAACTTGCGTCCAGTAAGGTTGTGCTGCGCTCTCTGGCACTCCACCACTGAACTGTACTCCACAAAAACCTTACCAATCCCTGACACCTGGACCCCTTCAACAGGCCGTGGAATCTCAAGTGATTGCACGATGCCATATTTGCTACATTCCTCACGGATGTCCTCAACGATATCTTCGTATTCCTCATTATCTTTAAGCTCATCAAGCATAACCATATTCATGAGGCACAGCACTTCCGTGGCGGGCCCTGAGCCACTTTTCAGATCCAAGCCTGGAACCTGGACCTGCACTGGAGCTATGGCATAACCATTCTTGGCGCCCACACTTGCCCGTTGCAACACCAACTTTTTGTCTCCTAGCTGCATTCCGTTCAGTCCAAGGATGGCCTGATCTGTGAGGGCGACATCTACATATTCGCAAAAGGCATAGCCTTTGGACAGCCCACTAAATGAATCCTTGACCAGGTTAAATGATCGAAGCTGACCAAATGCCATAAGCAGCTCCATAACCTGATCATCATTCAAGAAGGCGGGCAGCCCTGCGAAGAAGAGCTTATTGGGCGAATCGGATACCATCGTTGAAACCACACCCGGAATACCCGGCATCTGTATCATCCCAGGCATCATAGTTGGACGGTCTGCCATGCCTGGCATTGGTTGATAGTCATGAGGCCGTCTGATTTTTAAAGTCTGTCCTCTAAAATTAATACCATCAAAAGCAATTCCTTGAGTTGTTTCGTCAATTGATCTGAATTCCAAGAATGCAAAATTCTTGTCTAGATTGATCTGGCAGGCAAGAATTGGATCACCAGCAGCCTGGGCAAGACCAGAAATGTGCATCTGTTGATTGAAAAACGTCATGACCTCCTTCTCTGTTAAACCAAAGGGAATGTTTCCTACGTACAGACGACGTGCTTGTCTTGTGATAGAAGAACCAGCAACAGGCACTTCTGGAACCGAAGGACCGAGTGGTGCTCTTTGGCCTACACTTGTTGGATGTGCAACTAGAGGTACTGTAACAGTAGCTGGGATCTGCCCAGTCAGTAGCATATTCTTGTATTGAATGGGTGTAATGTGTTCAAAGCCTGGAGGTGGTTTGTCCCAGTATAAGGAAGGCTTTCGCTTCTTTGTAGGTTCTCTCAAGGGTGATCTTGACCTACTTCTAAGTACACGCCTTTCACGGTCCTTAACCCTATCACTGTGCTTATCTCTATCTCGATTCTTATCTTTATCACGACTCTTTTCTTTATCACGACTCTTATCTTTATCACTATTCTTATCTATATCACTATTCTTATCTATATCACTATTCTTATCTATATCACTATTCTTATCTACATCACGATTCATATTTATATCACGATTATTATCTTTATCGCGAATCATATCTATATCACGATTATTATCTTTATCGCGAATCATATCTATATCACGATTATTATCTTTATCGCGATTCATATCTTTATCGCGATTCATATCTATATCGCGATTCATATCTATATCACGATTCTTATCTTTATCACGATTCTTATCTTTATCACGATTCTTATCTTTATCACGATTCTTATCTTTATCACGATTCTTATCTTTATCACGATTCTTATCTTTATCACGATTCTTATCTTTATCACGATTCTTATCTTTATCACGATTCTTATCTTTATCACGATTCTTATCTTTATCGCCATACTTATCCTTATCGCGATACTTATCCTTATCGCGATACTTATCTCTGCCACGATACTTATCTCTATCGCGATACATATCTCTATCGCAATACTTATCTCTATCACGATACTTATCTCTATCACGATAATTATCAATATCACGATACTTATCTACATCAAGGACTTTACGTTTTCCACGATCATCGCGCAGATTCAGTAGATTACTTCCAGCGTCTTCAGAACTCTCCAGTAGAACTCTTCCAGCATCTTCACAAGTCTCAGGTAGATTACTTCCTCCATCTTCACAAACTTTCTCCCTCTTTACCTCCTGTCTCTCCTCTTCCATTTTGGTCACGTGTAATAAAAGTTGGTCACGTTTTGGTCACAACACATAACACAAGAACAGGATGCACAAGCCGTCAGCAGATTGTCCTCACTCTACAATCGCTCCCAGACCCGTAGGTAATATAGTCTCCCATGTCATCTCACGTCACCTCATCTCGCCTCACCTGTTAATACACAATTCAGCTCAAAGAACGCAATAATAAAGGATATTGCTGAAGGTCTATTGACGCATATGAGGCAGCTTATGAGAACGTAAGAATGAAAATAACTGTAAAAAGCCTATACGAGGCAATTCCTATTTATATAACATAAGAATATAAGAATGAAGATAGATGCAGAAGGCCTATTGGCCTATACGAGGCAGCTCCTATTTATATCCACTAATTTTATTCATATATATATATGTCTAATCTACGCTTGAAACAATCAAGGGATCCTACTTTTTTATGCTACGCGGGAATTGGTTCCACAAATCAACACCCCCTGTTAACGAACTAATATTTAACCAGATCATTCCAAAATCTAAACTAATATAGTATATATTTATTGTTTCGTGTTCTGCCTTGTGTTGATACTTTTAATACCCTATTAATACCCCCTTTGTTTTGTCCATTCATAAGAATAAAGGTACCTGCAGAGGGCCTATTGAGCCATATGAGGCAGCTCCTATTTATAACCCCCCAATCCCACTCATATACATGTCCAACCCAAGTTTGAAACAATCAAAGGACCCTATTCCTCAACAGCTTTTCTAATCATTGTAGTCGCGGTGGAATGTGCATCTAATGCAGCTGCTGTCGTAATTTAAGCTTCGTTAATCTCTCTCTTCATATGAAAGATTTCTAATTTACGGAATTAACTTTGTCATCCTACTCTGGACAGGTTCAAGTGAATTTTTATCCAATATATTTAACGGCAACCAAAACTGAACTGCATTATCTAAATGGGGCCTAACCAGAGCAAGATATAGCTGAAGAACAACACCAGGTGTCTTGTTACTAATGCTTCGATTAAGAACATAAGAACAAAGGTAACTGCAGAAGGCCTATTGGCCCATACGAGGCAGCTCCTATCTATAACCACCCAATCCCACTCATATACATGTCCAACCCAAGCTTGAAACAATCGAGGGACTCTACCACGTTACGAGGTAATTGGTTCCACAAATCAACAACCTTGTTACCGAACCAGTATTTACCCAAGTCTTTCCTCAAATCTCAACTCTAAATAGGAGATGCCTCCTATGGGCCAATAGGCCTTCTGCAGTTACCTTTGTTCTTATGTTCTTATCGAATTTATACCCATTGTTTAGTGCTCTGTCTTGTGTTGATACTTTTAATACCCTATTAATATCCCCTTTGTTATGTCCATTCATCCACTTGTAAACCTCTATCATGTCACCCCTAACTCTTCGCCTTTCCAGTGAATGCAACTTAAGCTTTGTTAATCTTTCTTCATATGAAAGATTTCTAATTTGGCCAATTAACTTAGTCATCCTACGCTGGACACGCTCAAGTGAATTTATATTATAAATTATTATACAATAATTATAGAATGGATATAAATTCACTTGAACGTGTCCAACGTAGGATGACTAAGTTAATTCCCCAAATTAGAAATCTTTCATATGAAGAAAGATTAACAAAGCTTAAGTTGCATTCACTGGAAAGGCGAAGAGTTAGGGGTGACATGATAGAGGTTTACAAGTGGGTGAATGGACATAACAAAGGGGATATTAATAGGGTATTAAAAGTATCAACACAAGACAGAGCACTAAACAATGGGTATAAATTCGATAAGAACATAAGAACAAAGGTAACTGCAGAAGGCCTATTGGCCCATACGAGGCAGCTCCTATTCTATAACCACCCAATCCCACTCATATACTTGTCCAACCCGTGCTTGAAACAATCGAGGGACCCCACCTCCACAATGTTACGCGGCAATTGGTTCCACAAATCAACAACCCTGTTACTGAACCAGTATTTACCCAAGTCTTTCCTAAATCTAAACTTATCCAATTTATATCCATTGTTTCGTGTTCTGTCCTGTGTTGATACTTTTAATACCCTATTAATATCCCCCCGGAATTATTAATAGGGTATTAAAATTATCAACACAAGACAGAACACGAAACAATGGGTATAAATTGGATAAGTTTAGATTTAGGAAAGACTTGGGTAAATACTGGTTCAGTAACAGGGTTGTTGATTTGTGGAACCAATTGCCACGTAACGTGGTGGAGGTGGGGTCCCTCGATTGTTTCAAGCGTGGGTTGGACAAGTATATGACTGGGATTGGGTGGTTATAGATAGGAGCTGCCTTGTATGGGCCAATATGCCTTCTGCAGTTACCTTTGTTCTTATGTTAATCTCTCTCTTCATATGAAAGATTTCTAATTTACGGAATTAACTTTGTCATCCTACTCTGGACAGGTTCAAGTGAATTTTTATCCAATATATAGAACGGCAACCAAAACTGAACTGCATAATCTAAATGGCCTAAACAGAGCAAGATATAGCTGAAGAACAACACCAGGTGTCTTGTTACTAACGCTTCGATTAAGAACATAAGAACAAAGGCAACTGCAGAAGGCCTATTGGCCCATACGAGGCAGCTCCTATCTATAACCACCCAATCCCACTCATGTACATGTCCAACCCACGCTTGAAACAATCGAGGGACCCCACCTCCACCACGTTACGCGGTAATTGGTTCCATAAATCAATAATCCTGTTACCGAACCAGTATTTACCTAAGTCTTCCCTATAAATATAAATATTTCCTATATAAATAAATATTATTTATTTAATTATAAATTATTATTATTTATATAATATTATTTATATAATATTAATATATTAATTATTAATATTAAATTAATATTAATTAATTAAATTAATATTAATTAATTAAATTAATATTAATTAATTAAATTAATGTTAATATATTAATATTATTATTATATATTATTATTTCTTATGATTTCTTATGATTGGGTGATTATAAATAGAAGCTGTCTTCTATTTAGAAGGCTGAAGAGGAGACAGAGCCTTGAGGCACTCCACTTACAACATTTTCCCACAATGACTTAACTCTCTATTTATAAGATGGTGTTGTGATTGCGAAGTCGGATTGCGAAAGGGATCTGGGAGTTATGATTAGTAAGAATTTAAAACAAAAGGATCAATGCATAAATGTTCGTAATAAGGCAAATCGGACACTTGGATTTATTAATCGCAGCGTTAGTAACAAGACACCTGGTGTGGTTCTCAAGCTATATCTTGCTCTAGTTAGGCCCCATTTAGATTATGCAGTTCAGTTTTGGTCGCCATATTATAGAATGGATATAAATTCACTTGAACGTGTCCAGCGTAGATGACTAAGTTAATTCCCCAAATTAGAAATCTTTCATATGAAGATAGATTAACAAAGCTTAAGTTGCATTCACTGGAAGGCGAAGAGTTAGGGGCGACATGATAGAGGTTTACAAGTGGGTGAATGGACATAACAAGGGGGATATTAATAGGGTATTAAAAGTATCAACACAGGACAGAACACGAAACAATGGGTATAAATTGGATAAGTTTAGATTTAGGAAAGACTTGGGTAAATACTGGTTCAGTAACAGGGTTGTAGATTTGTGGAACCAATTGCCGCGTAACGTGGTGGAGGTGGGGTCCCTCGATTGTTTCAAGCGCGGGTTGGACAAGTATATGAGTGGGATTGGGTGGTTATAGAATAGGAGCTGCCTCGTATGGGCCAATAGGCCTTCTGCAGTTACCTTTGTTCTTATGTTCTTATGTTCTTATACTAACTCTCTGTTTCCTTTGGTATAGCCGTGCCCTAATCCAACTTGGTATAGCACCCGCAATACCATGAGCCTTTATCATTTTAATTAGTCTTTCATGTGGCACTGTATCAAAAGCTTTGCTAAAGTCAAGGTGCACAACATCATTGTGCACTATCAACCTTATCACTATCAACTGCCTCAACTATGCTGGAATAAAATGATAGCAAATTTGTTCAACAAGAACGGCCATTTGTAAAACCATGTTGTGAATCATTAATTTATGTTTTCCAAGATGAAGACGAATAGTTATTGCAATTATTGCTTCAAGGCGAAGAGTTAGGGGTGACATGATAGAGGTTTGCAAGTGGATGAATGGACATAACAAAGGGGATATTAATAAGGTATTAAAAGTATCAACACTAGACAGAACATAAGAACAAAGGTAACTGCAGAAGGAAGAACACGAAACAATGGGTATAAATTGGATAAGTTTAGATTTAGGATAGACTTGGGTAAATACTGGTTCAGTAACAGGGTTGTTGACCAGACCACACACTAGAAATTGAAGGGACGACGACGTTTCGGTCCGTCCTGGACCATTCTCAAGTCGATTGTCGACTTGAGAATGGTCCAGGACGGACCAAAACGTCGTCGTCCCTTCAATTTCTAGTGTGTGGTCTGGTCAACATACTTCAGCCACGTTATTGTGACTCATCGCATGCAACAGGGTTGTTGATTTGTGGAATCAATTGCCGCGTAACGTGGTGGAGGTGGGATCCCTCGATTGTTTCAAGCGCGGGTTGGACATGTATATGAGTGGGATTGGGTGGTTATAGATAGGAGCTGCCTCGCATGGGCCAATAGGCCTTCTGCAGTTGCCTTTGTTCTTATTTTGTGCTTGAAACAATCGAGGGACCCCACCTCCACAATGTTACGCGGCAATTGGTTCCACAAATCAACAACCCTGTTACTGAACCAGTATTTACCCAAGTCTTTCCTAAATCTAAACTTATCCAATTTATATCCATTGTTTCGTGTTCTGTCCTGTGTTGATACTTTTAATACCCTATTAATATCCCCCCGGTTATGTCCATTCATCCACTTGTAAACCTCTATCATGTCACCCCTAACTCTTCGCCTTTCCAGTGAATGCAACTTAAGCTTTGTTAATCTTTCTTCATATGAAAGATTTCTAATTTGGGGAATTAACTTAGTCATCCTACGCTGGACACGTTCAAGTGCATTTATATCCATTCTATAATATGGCGACCAAAACTGAACTGCATAATCTAAATGGGGCCTAACT